AGAGAGAGAGAGAGAGAGAGAGAGAGAGAGAGAGAGAGAGAGACAGACAGAGGAGGAGAGGAAGATTTCATGCATGTCCTGTGCGGGATGTTTAGTTTTCCCTTGCATACAATAAACAGGTTATTATCAAAAAATTTGCATGATGTGCAAATTCTTGTCAAATTTAAAAAGTGACCATTTGGCCGAACGTGTCGTCTTTTTAAGCCCAGTAAACAACGCTGGGCACTTCTATTCTGGCTTAATCTGAGCAGTTTGGATTTGAATACAGAGATGGGCAAATATGAATTTTGATAGCTGAATACTCCTCCACCTCTCATCTAGCTTTCTTTTTCTTCAACCCCCCCACCACCACACCACACCAACTTCCCCTCCGCTTGCTCTCTCCCTCCAGACCGCCGGGGTAGCGTGTTGTTGTCGAGGGCGACAGGCGAGGCGAGCGACACACTCGCGCTCCGTCAACCGTCTGTCTTTAATGAGAGACACAGAAAGGCCCAGGGGACAGAGACCTGACTCTCTTTTCTCTCTCACACTAACACATACAGTATAATTTGTGTGAGAAAAAAAAAGTTATGCGTTCCAAGAAAAGGGTAATTACGAGGACACGCAACTTTGCGCGTCTGTTTGCTGTTGAAAACGATAAGCAAAAGAGGAGGAGAGGAAGAGCGAGATGCGCGTGAATATACGGAGAAAAGAATGGGGGAGAGAGAGGGAGAAAAAGAGAAAATGGGCGGTGTGTGTCCTGGTCTCCCCTCTCCCTCTGGTGTGCACCTGGTTACTCATCCATCACACAGAGCACAGTACATGACTGACTGGCAGAGAGCGAGAGAGAGAGAGAGAAAAAGAGGGGGAGAGAGAAAAAGAGGGGGGGAGAGAGTGAGGAGGGGAGACAGGCAAGCTCTTACATGCACACAGGGTTTTCCATTCTATGGCATTAGTGTAAATGGGCAAGGTAATGAACGTTGCGGTGGGATAATTGTCATTGATGGTCATTAGATTCACCCTTCACTGCCAACGCGCACACACACACACCTGAGTGCGCACACACACACACACACACACACACACACACACACACACACGGAATATGCAGCATGGCGGAGACATAACTAAGCTGTAATTGCTGAAGTGTATCAATTAATGTGAACAGCGGCGTGTGCTGACCCCTGGTCACTCAAATATCACCAAGAGAGAAAATGGGGGAGAAAATGGAGAGGAAATGAAAGTACATACCGTATACTTATGTTGTAAAGGCGATTGATGCTTTGTGAAGTTTACATTCAGCGCTACCTGTTCTTACTACAAGCCGAAGCCCAAAATACACACACACACACACACACACACACACACACACACACACACACACACACACACACACACACACACTATA